GGCTGGGTGTTCGCTGGTTGGTATGCTATGATAAGAAGAAGACTATCGGGTTGTTCACTTGGAAGTGAACTCGTTACTTGTATCAAAGATGTCAAACTGATATGATAAGATTGATAACTAAGTTGAGCACGAAGCTCCTATCTAAAGGCAGAAGTGCCAGTCTTATATAGAACCTTCGTTCTCGTGGAGCCTACGGGGAGCCCAAGATCCTCAAGCTCCTGCAAGCTCCAACGATCATGTGACCCTGTCACGTGATACTAACCGAATGAAATCCCTGGATCGCTTAGCTAGTCTAAGCTTCCCTATTTGCTATAAGAGTACTGATAGTGCTTGACCTTTCAGGACGCCGCCTGGTCTTCTCTTATCACGTGAACACGTGATTCGTGACAGGCGAATAGATTACGTGAAGTAGATCTAGAAGATATATATAATTTAGGAAATATATATTATATTATAATATATATCCTAGTAAGTTTTTAAGAGTATTAAAAATTTTAAAAATTTTAATATTCCTACTAAAAGTACAGTAGTCTATAATACTATAGACCCCCGGTCTATAGTGTTATAGACTCCCGTACTCCCACTGGGTAACATTACCTTAGAGTTCTAGATCAACTTTGTATTCTAATAGTCAGTGCACTGACTATTAGATTTAATGGCCCCAGAAAAATATAGCATTAGAATGGGTCTCAAATTCCAATTCTATCAATGGTTACAACAAGATAGAAAGCACATTGACTTTTATGTCAACGAAAACAGGTTTAGTACTTTTTGGAATAAGCGAGCCGTTCATGTTTATAGTTGGGATGGATAGTGACCCAGACGCACTTGTCACTTTGAGTATGAGATTAGTGCTGTATGTAATTATGCTTAGGGTCACTGCAATTCAAAGGGAGCTAGAGAGGGTTGTTCTCAGATGAATAAATTGCCCATCAAATTATAAATTATATTCCCTTCATCAAGATTGTAAATGCATAGCTCAAGCTTGAATCTGAAAGGAAACCGGTCCATTCACCCAGAACGCCACGCTCAATCTATGTGGTATAAAAAACAAAAAAATCATCGCTTCCCAAATTCCCGATACGTGACGATTGATCCTCCGCACCTAGTCGGAAGGAATCGATTCCCTCCGTGGCCCCTAGTTTGCTCCTTCATGTACCAGACAAAATATCCACTCCTCCAACATGCCATATCAAATGCTAACTCGAGCCACTTCCAAGGCCGGCCTTATTCATTCATTTCCTTCGTTACATACCTGAATTCTCTCATCGTGCCAGTCTGAATGCCTGAGTAGCAATCAAACTCGCAGCCCACATGCTGCCACTTGGTCCACTGTTTCCCGCATTGCCCAATCCCTTTTTAGCAAGCGGTGGAGCTTCTGGTGGTGGTTCGGTAGGGCTAGGAACCGGTTCGATGGGTGTGGCTGGTGCCGCTGGTGTGGACTTGACGCTAACTTGATCAGCGTGCAGAGGAGCTACACTCCCTGAAATTAAGAGTCCTTGGATCACTTCTAGCGCGCTCATTTGTTGTCCTAATCCCCATTTCCCGTCAAAGCCTGGCTCATACCATCTCGCTCCGCAAGTGACTCCATCGCTTGGTCCAGAACAGGCGTTTGCAGCTGCAAGAGCTGATGTGGTCAGCAGTTGTGCGGTTGATTGGGCGGTGAATGGTGCGATGACGCTGGTTGCCCACATAAACCTTGAGAGGTAGGCTTTAAATGAGAACTGATCTGTGTTGCAGGTGTTGACTTTCTCGCAGGCTGGTTCGTACATTATATTTGTGGCATTGTCGAATGGGCTGAAGAAGTTGGCTGTAGCATTGTAGAAACCTGTAGTTCTCTCCAGCCACAGAGCGGAACCATCTGTTAAGTTGTACATCATGGCCGCACCGTACATGTAAATACCTGCATTGTATGTCCAGATGAGCTTGACCGCTTCAGCGCAGTTTGTCGAAATATCAGCCCCGTCGAAAACGTGGTAATCTGGAGTAATAAGGCCTACATCAAAGGCCCATTGGTATGACCTCTCGGCCCATTCAACATAGGTTTGGTTTCCAGTGAATCGGGCTAATCGGGCAGAGAGCTGAAAAAAGGCACCGTTGGAGACGGTGTTCTTATAGTTGTAACCTTTGTTGAAGTCGAAGATTTGCCATCGTAATCCACCGCCGCAGTGTTCGGTATCCCAACGAACAACCTGAGTATTCCACAATCTCTCAACAAGTTGAACCCAGGTAAAATCTCCGCTTGGTTGAGGATAGTCCTTCTCAGCAGCGGACATGGCAGCAAACCCCCAAAATGCTTGGTCGTCGTTTCCTTCATCCTTTTCGTGTCGTGGCACCATGAAATCAAAGTTGGGACCGAACTGACTCTCAAGTGCTTGAGTCAGAACAGCATTGTATGATGAATCGCCTGTGTAATGAAAGTAGTCCATCATCGCCCCTAAAGCGAATTAGTAAAATCTCGGCTAAATTATAAGTACATAATCAATTTACCCCACATAGCACCTGCCTCCCACCAGTAGTATGGTTCTGGCAAGACACCCAACGTTTCTGGCGTGTTTGTGATGTTTCCTGTATAATAAGACATCATGCCATGGGCGATTGTGCTCGCGGCCGATTTGATGGAATCTGTTGCGTTATTAGTCCACTAGAATTCAAAGTACAAGATTGCCCGTTTGAAGGTTGCTCTCACCAGTGTTTGTCGCATCTAGGTCAACGGCAAGAACCACTGGCACAGCTCCCAGGAGCGTTGCACAGACTTTTCGTGAGAACCTCATGTTGATGTGATACTTCTGCGGAAACAAGGTAGTGACTGTGAGTGAAGAATATCTAGGAGTGCTTCAAATATGTAGATGTGTCCTTTGGTTAAGTAGTTCGTCCCAACTTTCTCATCGGCGTCAAACTGGGAGGAAGATGAGAAGGAAAATAAATACCTACCGGGATTGTGAGAGCCGACAAGGATAATACGGAATTGACGGCGTGGCTCACGTTGGGATTGACGCAGATCCAATCATCTTCCCGCTGACAATAGCATGGGCATGATGGGATGAGTCCATATTGGGTTCAAACGTGGGTGAACAAGCTCGAGACAGGGTGCCAAGCTACAATGGCTGTGCACCCACCCCCACAATGTTGTTTTGGAGTTTTGGAGTTTCAACGGAAAAAATCCAGCGAGGAAAGGACGAAGGAGGTTTCTGAAACACTTCAATGCCTTTTTTTAGCCACAGGAACCGAGTCAAAGGGCTGTGCCGGTACTGTAGGAATCCATTGGTGGCACAGAGGACGTGGAAGTTGGTTGAAAAACACATACAATAAAATACAACAACATCCTAGATACTCGGTACGGAGTCTGTAGATTACCACTGCTACATTACTACCAGTATGCACGAGTGGGAGTGAGCACTTTCCTATTCTATCAAGCTCGAATGGCAGAGTGATATCGAGAGCGAGAGCAGCATCAGGGGTAGCCAGAACTGAGAAGCCAGAAATAGGACCTGGCCACTGGTGCTTACCCGGAGCCCCATAGATTCCATCATTTCTAGCCAATTGATCCGCTTCTCAAAGTTGCAATGCCAATTCCTATGGCAGCACCAGCCTGTCGTTATCCGATACGAACCTCAAGTTCAGTCCAGTCTGGCGAGCCAATTTCAATTATGATGATAAGAGCTCTCTTTCAACCGCCAGACTCTCGTCGAAATTGTGGATTAACATTAACGTAACATTTGATAAGCTACCGCTGATGATTCCAAGGTGTTATCGTAATTCTATTGGAGTCACACAGCGTCGATTGAGAAATATTAGAAATTGTACTGTACTCTGTCCATAGCGCTGCGAGGTGAGGTGATGTTGTGAGAAGGTGAGGTTGTCAAATACAACTGGAAACACTCTTCCTCGCCTATGCGTACAGCAAATGAGAAGCCACTCAGACGCGTTCCAATTGACTTGAAAAAGAGCTCCAGCACCTGGGCACCTGCAGCCCTGGAAGCCAATAGTCACGTGATCTACGATGGCATCCCGACCTGGACCCTGCAGGGTGGACGGTCAAATTTCGGCGCCTATCTCCTGAAATGAGCGAAACCGCCTGACTGTAGCCTCCCGCATCAAGCGAATAGAAGACTTCGCCATGTCGAGAAATCATGGACTACGAATCTCTCCACGGCCCGGGAGTCTCCAACTTCTCCTCATCTCCCCCACGTAAGTTTCCCATTCAAACCTCGGAATTATGAAATATATTGACCGCTCTCAGATCGCATGCCAACCGTGTCCGCCGCACACGCTCTGCAACATCTCACTACATCTCCAACCAGATGCATTTCCACGGGATTACCTCCCCTTGACTTGGGTCTTCAAAACCGAGACCCACAGAGTGAGACTGTTGACCCTTTTTATGGCGGCGTTTCAAGAGGCAAGGTTACTGAGGTGTATGGGCCTCCTGGTGTTGGCAAAACTGCGCTTAGGTTAGTGTTTGTGAACATATATGAAGAAGCTCTTACTAAAGTTATGATAGTATGCAGATAGCCGCAAATGTGCTGCATGCTGGTGAGAACGTGTTCTGGGTAGGTATGTATTTGAAATATTCTCTGTTTCTTTGCTAGCTCCACTGCTATCCTTTTATATTGGGCTCCGTTATTTCTAAGCATGCTCTTCTCGTTATGTGAATTTGTTACAATGGAATTTCTTTGCTTCTTTGAAAAGTGATTTATGTTTGAATGAACCTATGTTATTTTCTACTGCATCCAAATCAATTCGTACTTTTTACTCCTTTCCAAGTGCCATCCTGACATTCATAGATGCTTCACATCCTCTACCTGCTCTGCGATTTCTCCATATTCTGGAATCAATCCAAGCAGCGAAACCAGCCTCACAGGCACCGGCATCAGAACCGCTCAATCCAAGAGATCTTCTTGAAAAGCTGATACACTTTTCAACACCAACTCTCGCTCACCTTTTGGCATTGTTTTCAAATCCCACAGACACCAATCCACCTCAGAATACTGGTCTTATTGTAATAGACTCATTCTCGACTCTCATGGGCACCGCATTCCCTCGGACAGCCGAGCCTCCAGCGGCGCCGAAAAAACCTGGTGGTAAGCACTCTTTCTTTTGGTCCCTTCCTTTCAGTCATTAACACCCAGCAGCCCCAAAACCACAAAATCCTTCCACTAGAAAATTTCCAATTCTTCAAAATCTTCTCAATACACTGCAAAAGATTGCAGCAACCCGCAATATTGCAGTTATCATCCTCTCCCAATGTCTTACCAAGATGCGACCGGGTATTGGTGCTATTCTTGCACCAGCAATTGGTATAACAGCTTGGGAACAAGCACTCGGTTGTAGAGTTGTATTGTTTAGGGACTGGGGATGGAATGATGAAGACGGAAATCCGGTGGATGGCGTGAGGTTGGCCCAGATAATCAAGGCGGAGGGTACAACTCTCCCAGAAGGACGAGGTTGGCTGGCGGGGTTTACTATCGGTGAGGTATGTCATCTTTCTCTCTTTCACTTTGTTATTTCTTCTGAAGCACACCTGGATGTTTCAATGTCTTTCAAGAGAAGGATCAGATCCTCTTCATCACAAATAATCCCTGCACTAGCGTTTTGCTCATTTCAGCTCTCATCAGAATGGACTGTCATCACTACCACTTCCATCATTCTCCGTCATAATACACCGACCGAGTTATCCAATCCATCTTGCAGCTCAAAATAATAATCAAAATCCAACTTCGACACCCCAAAATATCCCTCAGAAGCGCAAGCGTTCAAATGAAATACCCGATAGTGAGGGAGAAGACGACGAAGACTATGGATGGGCGGAAGAGGATGAAGAGGACGTCCCCGTAATGCCACCACAGTGGCAGGGCAGTGAGGATATTTTGATTCCGGATCCCGCTGAAAAAGAGGAAGAGGCCGAAGAGGAGGGAGATGATGAAGAAAACGAAGATGCAGATGCGAATGAAGTAGACGAAGATGGAAGGAAGACCTTTGAGGAAATAGCCGATAGTGAGGATGAACTTGCACTTTGATTGATTATAGTAACGCCCGAAATCAATGGGATAATCAGAAATACGCTAGGTACGTCGAGCGAAGATGTCTTGCTTGTCAATTTCAGTCAAAACTTCACGCTCCCAGGCTTCTTTCAAACGATATTATTCACTAGTCCTCGATACTCAAGTACCTAGGATCTGCAGTATGGTATTGTGTAACCGAACCCCACATTTGGTGCAACCTACCTATGATATCATCGCAAAGGGGAGTCGAGTACTCCACAACTTTGAAAAGGTCTAGTGCCAAATGGTGACTAGGCCCATCTCAGGATACAATAGTCTGATTCACTTCAAAGTAGCCATGACCGCCTTTCAGATGAAATGTGCAACTTCAGCCATCCGCCGCCACATGACGTAGTTGGTATCGAATGCACCCATCAACCCAAAAGTCCCCTTGAGCCTCTTCACAACTGACTTCCTCTTACTAAACTCTTAACACAAGTCCGATGCTCATAAGGCCTAGCGACAATGATAGTCACTAATCCACATCCCGCACCTGTTGGACCCGTTCCTCCTCCAGCAACCACCATGGCTCCAAATGTCGACAGTCTGGACGATGAACCAGAAGTTGTTGAAGCTGCGCCCCAAGAGATACCAACTGAAAGCCATGAATTGGCAAAAGCAGACCATGAGGAAAAAGGTGCTGCTCAGATAGATCATGGTCAGACAGAGGTTCGAGATCTTGGATGGGATCCGGAGGCTGAAGTGCCACAGCCTTTAGTTGGAGGACTTCCAAATGAAGAGTTGTGGACCTTGGTCAGGAGATTCAACAAGGTAAGATCTTATATTTTTACTTTGGGGCGTTGACATACATTGAGTTGGGACGCTAGTTGACGAGCTCTGAGTAGCAATTGTACCATGTTAAATCTCTCCCTGGACCTCCACTTGGAGGACTTGACCTGAATATTGCCGACGAGGAGGAGTTTTCTCCCGATAAACTACGAGCCAAAATCGAACGGCTTTATATGACAGTGGTCATCGGCGCTGTTAGTTTCTATAAGCACATCGCAAGACTTCGCTCATGGCGCGAACGGAACCGAACCCTCGCTTTCCTGGGGGTCTACTTCGTAGCATGGCTTCTCGATTTTCTCGTCCCGACACTCATCTCATTCATCATGGTCCTGATTGTTTATCCCAAGTCTCGAAGTTACTGTTTCCTGCCGGCTCCGATTGCTCTGATCGATTCCAAGACTGGAGGCGTCAAGAAGCCGAGTGCAGGGGTTTTGGGAAGCGATGACTCTTTGACTGGGGCTCCTGAGAAGCATCAAGGAGAGGCGGTTGAACAGGAAGCTAGTAATTTCGTTAACAGCTTTACCTCCATTGCCATCTCTTCGGCTTCCGGGAAACATCCTCAGGGAGATCCCCATAGTCAGGAAGAAGGAGCGAGTAGTGTTGAAGACAGAACCCCAGACCCTACAGATCTAGCGGTGGGTGCTGCGAATGCGAAAGACAAGGCTTCAGGAGGAAAGACGAATGCCGCGCATGATAAGACCAAGGAGCCTATGTCTGCAGCGATGTGGTCGAAGACTAGACCAGTTATGCATATCATAACCGATATATCAGATGGCTACGAAAGATTTGCCAACGCTTTATCGCCTACAGCACCATTCCCAAAGGATAAACCAAGAATTAAACTCGCAGCCGTTCTCGCTCCAGTTCTCCTCGTTTCCCTCTTTACCACCTCCTACATGTTCTACAAAATAAACGGATTCCTCATCGGGTTTGCGTTCTTTGCAGATCCGATTATCTGGCGTGGTTTAGATTACTTGAACCGAGAATTCCCACATTGGCAAAAGTTATTGGAGATCAGGAATACCCTCCTCAAAGGTGTCCCTACGAATGCTCAGCTTACCATCACCTTACTACGCATCGGGGAACACAACAAAGCTCCCCTTCCACCACCACCTTACTCGGGTCCACCCCCTCCAGATGTTGCACACGAAACCGCGGGCGAGGACCTAGATCATCTCGGTGAGTCTCGCTTCCCTACCCCCCATACAAATCCCTTCCTAACACACCCAGAAGGCGTCCCCTCCCACGAGCTCGCCTCCTCAATCCACCCCGAACCACTCTCCCCCGCCGTATCCGCGAAGAAGAAACACGGCAGTCGTCTCATCGGGGCCCTCAAATCCGCGACCAAGGGCGGCATAGAAACCATCCTCGGCACCGACCGCTTGAAAGCAGCAGCCGGCTCAGGACACGCCAAGAACCGGCTGGGAGTCCTCAGAGATGGATTGGAGAGGGGGGCTGGTCCTGTTGCGTTTCCGTGTAGGTACCAAGGGAAGAGGGGACATGCGTATATCACGACCACAGCGACGAGTCCGGCCCTGAGTTGGACGACGGAGAGGGAGGATGTGGAGCCCGTTTGGAGTGTGGCTATTGGGGATGTGATGGTTCGTTCTCCTCCCCCCCTTCTTTTCATTTTTATTCTTCTATTTTTGTGGGAGTGAAACTGACAGGGTGTGTACAGGAGATCAAGAAAGTAGGTGGGCTGGGGTGGAAGACTAAACCTGTTGTTGGGTGGGCGACGTCGAGGGAGATTGCGGATGGGATTATTGTTGTTGATAAGGAGGGGAAGACGAAGCATCTTACTGCTATTGCTTTACGCGAGGATTTGTTTAATCGTCTGATTGCAATGGGGGATCAGATGTGGGAGGCTTGGTAAGGTGGTGTAAATATACTGGTTCAGTACTCGTACAGTACATGTAATTTAAAGCGGTGTCATCATTGAAAATGGCAAAAGAGAGCTCCTCCCAGGGTTCAAATACCCGAGAAACTAATTCTGTGGTTGTTTAAACGAAAATCAAAACAACAAGTCCCCACTTCCTTTTCACGCAACACACAAAATGTAGTGAACATTCAAATGGGAACAAAAAGAGGTTCGGGACCGTGTTATCTTGGAATTATCTTAAGATTACTACTACTGTACTCTGGCATGGAATCCTTACATACCTCCCCCGCCCCCTACGATAAGCCAGTTGTGTTTTAAAAGTGTGGCTGCCTGGCAACATCTCTCGTTACTATGTACTCTTGATGGCTTTTTGTGTGAAAATGTACCTGTTTTGGCGTATACGCATGTGTTTTTATATGAGCAAACCCTCAATGTGTATATACTCATACCAAAAGGCGAAAAAGTCGTACACATATACACCCAGCAAGCGAGAGCCGCGAGTCACCCTCCTGAATATGCCAACCTTCATCGCCAAGTATTATCCAAAGAAAATGAACCCCTCATAAACCTATCAAGAAAGTAAAGGCTCAAAACCCAACCACTATCAGTACTCAAACCAAAAAAAAAAGAGGACAGAAAAAAAAAGAAAATCGCATCAAGCAACAACGGCAGGAGTAACTCTATTCACCTGATTCTCATCCTCATCCTCACTGTTAGTTTTCGGACCATTCCACGCAGTAATCCCCCTCCTCTCAATTTGTTCCTCGTCAAAGGTTCCATAGTAATCGTGGTCGTCTTCTAATCCCGTTCCTTTGATTTTGAAGATATAGCAGAGGGCTGTGTACATGGTTGCGCCTTCCAGTAATCCTGTGCTTGGTAAATAGACAGACGAGAGAGGGGATGATAGGCGACGTACCAAAGATGTAGTTTCCTCGGTAGTAATTCATTATTCCTTCATTCACGACGACTGCTGGGTTAAGATTTGCGACCATCCCCGGAATCGCAGGCGTGAAACAGACGATCCAGGTTACCATCGCTCGCCAATTTACTCCGCCTGTATAGAAATATGCTCCTTCCTCCGAACCGGTATATAATTGCCGAAGCTGGATCCGTTGTTTTCGAATTATGAAGTAATCTGCCAACATGATTCCAGTTAACGGAGCTAAGAAAACCGAAAATGAAGCCATCACTGCGACGAACACTGAAGCAGTATTGTAGAATAGCCACGGCTGGACGACCCATGAGAGGATCGCACATAATAAGCAGCCGCGTCGCATGTTGATATACTTTGGAAATAAACCTGCGAGATCCATGCCAGCAGCGAAGCCGTTACCGAGAATGTTTTCCGCAAGTTGACTTGTTACGAATGCGAGACTGCAGAAAAACGCGCCGGCGCGATTTACGGGGGAGTAGTCGTCGAGTAGCCATTGAATAACAAGAGTTAATGGATTCCAGAATGGTTCCTTGCCGTAGATTTCTACTGATGCTGAAGCTGTTAAGATGGATAAGATTGGAACCAGTGTTCCGACTAAGAAGAGCCCAATGATGGTACCAGGGACTTGATGGCCTTGCTTTTTGGCAAAACGCGTGTAGTCAGATTGATTAAGGATCCCCGAAGAGATTCCACCGACGGTAGAAGTGATGGCGTAGAACCAAGCCCATGCTGGTGATAAGGTTGAATAGTCTGCTCCTTTGTGCATGAGCGGTCCCAAACCGCCCGCTTCTTTGCAGGTACGAATTGTGATCCCGATCATGGCACAGGTTGTGAAGAAATTTGCGAAAGCGACGGGGATCCTGACTTTTTCTGGGCGAATCAACTGTGTAAGAAGCCGTTAGAGAAATCCGAAGTTATTTTCAACAAAGACAAGAAAGAACTTCATGCGTACCATAAAAGGCAACGATAACATTTGGAACAAAACGAAACCAATAAAGTCCCGCGTAACCATATGCGCACTTGGGGGAAGTGTATTCCGCATATTCAAGAATCCAAAACTCCAACTACTCAACATGGCAGTGACGCATAAACCACCCAACCAGGCTTGGTTGGCATACCAAACAACACTGAGAAAAATCCTGATCAGAATTCCGAGAAAGGACCCGTACATTCCTAAAGTAACCCTCTGTGCAACAGTAAATCCGACGTGCCACTCAGCACCCAGCCAGCCATTTCCAATTGCTAGTAGAGCGATGAAAACTTTTGAGACTAGACCTACTCCCATGGTCATCCCGACCGTGAGACCCAGTGATAGGAGGGCGGCTGAGGCTGTCCATGCTGTGATGCATAAACTAGATATAACTTAATGTCAGAGTTTTAACCATAGCCTCTCTCTTGCTTTACATGGTCCTTTCCTTACTACAGAATATCCTCCAAAAAACAAATAGAAACAATTGCTCACCAACTGACAGCAGTGAACCCAAAATAGTCAATGTGGCTCCATGGTCTCCTTTTCGGGGGTAAAGGAGCGATATCGGGATTGTACCATATATTTGACTCAAATCCTGTGTACGCATCATCCTTGAGTGCTAGCATCCCAAGTAATTTCGCCATCTTTGAAGCTCAGAAAAACGCCGAAGTAAAACACACTGAGAAAGACGCCAGCGGGTAAGTTCTGTAATTTGAGCAATACTTACAATTCTTGATAATACGTATGAATGCAACGCTGTGATTCCTTATCTCCCTTGGCAACTGATCAATAATGTGAGCAATCATGGAATGATTTTCACAGTAATCTGGAATATCTTTGGAAAGTACCGTTCTACCATGCCCAGGTGGAGTGATTGAATGGATTTTACGCCGCCAAGGGAAGCGGGGATCAGAAACGAGCATCTTCCTTCTCCATCAGGGTGAGTGGACGAAGGTTCGGCTTCTTTTTCCCTGGAAGAAAGTGGGGATGTCTTTATGTAGTCTGATTGGATGAACCAGGGAAAAGATCGAAAGTTTTTTTTAATCATCGGATCAGATAAGATAAGATTATATCCGAGCAAATGACAGTAACTGCACCTCCCAAGGTGCACGCTTAAGCTTTGAACAACCACTACAATGTCTGATCCGAATCCGCTGATCGTTGGTATTGATGTGGGCGGTGAGATTCTACACCAGTACTTCTGTTGCTTGCATGAAGACACTGACGATTGAAAAGGTACCAATACCGACTCCGTCCTCCTTAGAGTTGGTGATGGCAGCAAGATCTCGGTTCTTGCTTCAAACAAGGCAGTGACAACATCAAATGTCACGCTAGGTGTCAGAGATACGCTTCAAGCTTTGCTTGAAAAGTCCCAGGAACCCCCGCAGAAGATTGCTGCATTGGCGATTGGAACGACCCATTTCCTCAACGCCATTATTGAACGAGATTCTTCAAGAGTGGAGAACGTCGCTGTCATTCGACTTGCCTCCTATAATTTCTCGGTTGGGCAGCCAACCTTCTCAGCATGGCCCCCAGCGTTGAAACATATTGTGAATGGACATACTGCAATAATTCCAGGTGGCTGCAATATTGATGGAAGTGAAATAGCTCCCATTGACGCCGATTCTGTCAAGGAGCAGGCTCGGATTATTAAAGACAAATGTCTGAAAAACGTTGTTATCGTGGGAATCGGTTCACCTATGGACATAAATCATAATCAAGAGAATAGGGTAAGAAGACTACTCTACTTTCGCGATAATGTATTCACCCTGTCACTTAGGTTCGAGAAATTTTCCAAGCAGAATTGGGGTCCACTGTAAACATTGTTTGCTCTCACGCAGTCGCCGGATCCGGGCTATTGGCTCGAGAGAACGCTTCTGTATTGAATGCATCCATCATGAATTTCGCACGTAGAACAATCCGTTCATTTGTTGGTGCAATGGGAAAAATTGGACTTCAATGCCCTCTCTATTTATCATCAAATGAAGGCCATCTTTTGACATTTTCCGAGGCCTTGAAATTTCCCATTCGAATCTTTTCTTCTGGAGCCACGAATTCGATTCGGGGCGCTGCATTGCTGGCAGGTGACCAGATCGGAAAGAACGGATGTATCGTTGTCGATATCGGTGGCACCACTACTGATGTTGGATACCTACTCAAAAATGGCTACCCTCGTTTAGCGAAGAGCTATACGGACTTGGCGGGCGTGAAAATCAACCTGGAGATCCCTTCTGTTGAGAGCATAGGGTTGGGAGGAGGCTCACTTGTCCGAGTCTCTGAGGATGGGAAGAAAGCATCAGTTGGACCAGAAAGTGTTGGCCATGATATTCTCTCAAAAGCATTATGTTTTGGAGGAAGCGTCATGACGGCAACTGATATTGCTGCTGCCTCGGGTATCAAAATTGGAACTTGCGAAGTTGAATTGTCGGAGTCGACGGTTCAACAGGCAAAAGCAGCAATAAAGCGTATGCTTGAGGTCACTATCGATCGCGTCAAGTTCTCTCCAGAGCCATGTTCAGTGATATTGGTCGGCGGAGGTTCCATTCTTTGTCCAGATTCTATTGATGGCGTGGACAAAATAACTTTGCCAGAGTATGCAGGTGTTGCCAATGCGATCGGCGCTGCGATGGCAAAGATCTCAGGAAGTTCCGAATTTATTGTCAAGACCACTGATACAAGTGTTGAAATTGCCAAAGCAAAAGCCCTGGCAATTGATGATGCGGTTTCGAGAGGTGGTAATCGCAATCAAGTGACTGTTCTCAATGAGCAGGCAACTGGAATCCCTTACTCCGATGGAAAGATCAGAATTCGTGTGGATGTTGCATGTGCAGCTGACCATGGAAGAGCTCGTCAAGAAATGCTCAAGGAAAGCCCAATGACAGAAGACGAGCTATATGAGGAGACGAAAATCCATCAAGTCCTGGAAAACGATTTCGCTGAGGCTGAAGAAAATATCGATTTAATGACATACAAGCCGGCAGTTGACAGCAATGGAATTTGGTCTCTCTCGAAGACGGATATTGAGTTCATTTCAATTGGGTGTTATATGCTCGGCTCGGGGGGAGGAGGGTCACCTTACGGTGTATATCTGGAGCTTGCCCAATTGCTATTAGAAGGCCATAACACAAAGATCAGAAGTCTGGAAAGTTTGACAGCAGAAGATATTGTGTCACCCATCGCTGCGGTCGGAACGCCAGAAGTCAGCAACGAAAGACCAGGTGGGGACTACATGCTTCATGCACTCAGTGAGATGTCCAAACTCATGTCGCTCGAGTATACCACGATGCTAGCAACGGAAATAGGAGGAAGTAATGGTCTCCAGCCTCTAGAGTGGGGCAGTTCGAAATATTACAATATTCCAACAGCAGACGCTGACTTTATGGGTGAGCTTCTCTGTCCCAGTCGCGTATTGGAGCTAATAGATCTTAGGTCGTGCTTGGCCAAGCTTTGAAATGTGTTCTCCATACGTTACAGCCACATCAATCAACGATTTGCTGCCGGTGACATTAAGCAGTGGCACTGGAGTGAATCATGTCATTCCTGCGAACCAAGCTGACCAGGCCTCGGCTAGCATGGCAATTTCAACAGCTGTATTCAGCATGGGGTATGTCTATTAACAAGCTCAGTAATACTTGCCTGATGTATAATTATAGTATCGCAGCCGGCGGAGTCTCAAAACCAATGTCAGGTCCTGAGGTCCAGAGAACTGGAATTCCTAATTCTTACTCAATATCTTGGCGGCTCGGACGGTGCGTTTCAATTGCCCAGCAAACATCAACACTTTCGACCGTGACCGATAAAATCATTGAGGAATGTGGAGGTAGTAAGAGTGCTCGTCGTATCTTCACTGGGAAAATCAGAAGTGTAGAAAGCAGTTTGACTACCTCAGCTCATAGTGTTGGAAAAGTGATTATTGAAAGGCTAGGCGAGAATGAGACGGAGAACGAGGCTGATCGCGTTGATGAATTTGCCGAAGTGCATATCCCATTCAAGAATGAGAATCTAGCTGTCGTCGGGAAAGATGAGAGTGGAAAGGAAACGGTAAGAGTTTTGCGTCTCGTGAGAACCAATGGTAGAGTACTGATATCACTTTAGGTCCTGGCTACCGTTCCAGATCTTATTTTCCTGCTAGATGTTTCGACTGGTGAAAATGTTGGTACTCAGGAATACCGGTACGTTCATTCCCCATGATTGCTCGTTTTCACCTCTACAAAGAAACTAACTGTTGATTCAGTTACGGACTGAAAGTGACGGTCATGATTGTTGCACCTCACCCGATATGGATCACTAAACGTGGGCTTGAAATTGTTGGACCAAGGGTCTTTCATCTTCCGTATGATTACACCTCGCCAATTATCTATACTAAACCTAGAAGTGTGATTGAGGAGTTCCGGGTTAGAGATGGTGGGAAGTAAATGTTTAATACTGTACTGCGAATCACACTCTGTGGTCCATATAATCAACGAAAATCGTTTTTGATAGTTCTAAGAGACCCTTCCATTATTCTAGACCACCCCTAAGAACATGTTGTGCTAGAATTCCTCGAAAAGTCAGCTTGAATATCCCAAATCGCTTAGAATAATGAATGTATTTTGCTTTTTGGTTATCCTGTATTGCTCGCGTAACTATTTTAGTTATACAAGACTTCTAGAATGATATTGTTTTAATCTAGGGATGTTCAGAGTAATGACCTGTTTTCTCAAGAGACGAAAGTTCTATACTCGATCGACAGACTGATAGCTAAACGTTGCTCACTGCAAGGACGCCGTGTAATGTCTGATAGTGCTAGCCTTACTCAAGTACCAACGAGAAGGAATCCCCGAATTTTAAACTTCTACCGTCGATATTGCATATCCTTGACCCGGCCAAGCCGTCACTCCCTCTTTACGGACTCTACCAACTCCCACACAGGGAAAGAGACAGGGAGTCAAGAGTGGGGTTGAAGCGGTAAGGACCCCGCGATCGGAAATATGAAATACACCTTCACCATCAATCTTATAAACGTTCTGCGCACTGTCCGGTCAAACACTGTTCTGCCCATCTCACAGCAAAAAAACAAACAAAAGAATGACCGCACAAAAACCCATGCCTTCCCTCTGGAAACCCAAACCATCATGGCAAGAGGTAGCCGCCCGAGCCCGCGCCCGAATCGACAATGCAATCCCGTCATCGTACCTGGCTGCTCCAGAATACCTACCCAAAACACCAGAAGAATATGTTCTTGACCTCCCTGAAAGATCTGGTGTTTTGAGTGCTCGTGAATTGGAGATCACGGGACTGAACGCGTGGGAGTTGTTACCGAAATTGGCGGATAAGAGTTTTAGTGCTGTGGAGGTTACTGAGGCTTTTTGTAGGAGAGCGAGTGTAGCGCATCAAGTTGTATGTCTTTTACTTTGTCATTTCCCAGTCCTTATTCCTTGAAAAGAGCGGCATTCGTTAACATCGTGAGGTTTAGACGAACTGCTTGGCATTGGTGATGTTTAAGTCTGCTCTCGAGCGAGCGAAAGAACTAGATGAGTATCTCGAGCGTACTGGAAAGCCCATTGGTCCTTTGCACGGTCTTCCTATTTCTATCAAGGAACATATTGAAGTTGAAGGAACACCTGCTACGGCTGGATTTATTGCTTGGGTAGATGATGTGTCCAAGAACGATGCTCTGGTTGTGAAGATTTTGAGGGATGCTGGGGCTATCTTTCATGTTAAGACTGCTAACCCGCAGGCTCTTATGGTATGTTTGTTCTTTTCGTAATTCTCAGGATGTAAAAAAGAAAAACTAGTAGCCAGAGGGCTGGTCGTAACTGGGTTGACATATAGTTGGGAGGTCGGCTAACTATTAACTGTTAGTCAATTGAAACGGACAGTAATATTTATGGGCGAACAACAAATCCGTATAACCGCAATTTGAGTTCTGGAGGCAGTTCTGGGGGAGAAGGATCCTTGCTAGCTATGAGAGGTAGCGCCCTGGGCATTGGAACTGATATGGGTATGTTACCATTTTTGCAGAGAAAAGACCGGATTAGTATTGACGGAAACCAGGCGGCTCAATCCGCGTGCCAGCTTCTTTCTCCGGGATCTATGGGTTGAAGCCAGCAATTGCGAGAAATCCCCATGGCGGACTTGCTGGAAATTATGGCGGCATGGAAAGCATAGTTGGGGTTGTTGGGCCTCTTACACACTGTGTGAAAGACTTGAGGTTATTTCAAGAGGTAAAAATACACTGGACGAAACAGGCAAAACCTATTGCTCACATAGGGATTAGGTTGTGTTAGCAAGCGAGCCGTGGAACATCGAGCCCTCACTCGTACGAATGCCTTGGAATCCAGAAGGCAAGGATATGCAGCTTCCCAAAAAATTGAAGATAGGAATCATCTGGGACGATGGAGTTGTTCAACCACACCCACCGATAACGCGTGCTTTGAAAACGACAGTTGATGCATTAAAAAGTTCAGGGCATGAAATCATTGATTGGGACACTTCTTTACATGATGACATACAATCTACAGTGTGGCAGATGTTCTTCCTAGACGGTGGTAAGGAAGTTTTTGATGTCTTCAGGGAGGGAAATGAAGGTCCCGTTAAGTGTATTGAGTTTGCATTGAGGGGTGGACCTTATTCCACTCCGCGTCATTATACAGTTGAGGAGAGCTGGAAGGTAAGCAAATTTATTCTGCTACACCATCAAGATACAAGAATAAAAGTTAACTGTTCCATCTTAGATTAATTCAGAACGAACAAAACAACAAACAGCCTACGCAAGTATGTGGAATGAGACAGGTGTGGACTTCATCATAGCACCATCCAACCCCGCAGCTGCAACAGCGCATGATGAGACAGGATGGGATGGGTATACAGGAGTATGGAATGGCCTCGATCATACCGCTGTTGTGTTCCCTGTGACTTCAGTCCAGCAAACAGATACCTACGAAAACTTTCCGAGACTGCGAAAAGAACCTCTAGGTGAGAGGGATCTACATTATATTGACGCATATAAAAACGGGCCAAGCAAATATGCAAATGCCCCGGTGGCTTTGCAGTTAATAACACGAAAGCATACGGAAGAAAAGGCTCTGAAGGCTGTGGAGCTTGTCGAGGGAATAATTGGTTCAAGTAGATAGATGCGCCAACCCTCACAAATAGCCAATAAAGTATCCTTCATCTGTAGCTTTCAACTCGGGTTAGAAGGTCTTGATCTGAGGAAAGAAAGAGGCGCAGGGAACAAGGGCAATGTACATGCATATTGCTGTCGTCGAACAACTATGCTTTCTGCGATGAAAAGGCACGTTCTCTGTGGTAACTGACCCACGGAAATATATCCGAAGAGTCTTGAGGAGAAAAAACAGGTTATATACTGTGGTGGACTGCTGAAGGACTTCTAATAAATAGAGGTAAATAATAGCTTTCCAGGGGCTAAATATCTCTAGGATTTAAATGATGTATAAAGGGTAGCTTCTTGTTAGTTGGATTTATTCGTAGATATTAGAATCGTATTCGTGGATCCTACATGTAAGCTCCCATGACCATAAAATAGTAAAAGTCTTCAACCAGAGAATTTGATATGTAAAATAGTAAATAGCAGGCTTCTTGAAAGTAAGTGGTCTTGAAGACTTTGAATTAGCTAAATGAAATTTCTTCACTCAGCTCTAGAAGGGTTGCACGTGTTAGAGGCAAGGTATCGACGGCCCCAAACCTTTGGAAACAAGGGGTATATCTATTCGAAGATAGAAGCATACTCTAATTCAGCTGGCCAGCGCGAATGAGCGACAATATAGAAAGTATAATTACATTATACTCAGCGAACGAAAAGAAATTACCTCCCCTACCGGGCCACCCTAATGGGCCGGAAGTTAGCTTCTCAACGAAGGCTCTATTTTGGAGTTAAATAAATGAGCACTATTCTTTTAAATTGGCATACAACTAGTGTGTATTTACTAATCTTATAATGAGATTAGGTCACTATTTTCATCAATTTAATATCTTTAATTTGTCTATTATACATCATGTGTCTAAGCGAGACAGGGAGTTGGCTGCCGACGCAGGTCCGATACGGAAACACAGGTCAGGTGATTTCGGATTCTGGGTGATTTGGTACTCGTATTACTTTTGTTTTGAAACGTAAATCTCTATTTTGATCTAGATATATAAAATAACTATCCGATGCCTCTGAATAAGTCAGTACTAATGCCAAGACTCAAAAAGGCAAGTCACCTAGAACTAAAATGGATGTACTGCTCACTAGCCATGTTTTATATTGTAGCAATTCTAACAATTCTAATAATTGAACCCGCTAAATCTCGAACATTTAGGTCGAGGATGAAATTCTAGTTAACGATTGTGGAACAGCCTGTACGTATATAAAGTTTGTCTAGCTCTCAGCATTGGCGTTTGTTCTTCCAAAAGATATAGTATGCATGGGCTATTTAGTAATCTGATGTTTTTTTGGTATGGGATGTTGAGCCTTACCCCTGCAGCTGGTATATAACATGGGATCCCACAATTTAAAGTAGAAGGGTTAAATGAATATACATGCACATTAGTATTCTAGTACGTGACAAGCTTTTCAATCCATCAGGGACTGCTTCGCAATCAAAGAACAATCTAATGTTTAACGATATCTACATCCTTCATTTCATTGAGCATTCATCACCTCAACTCTTTTATCGTCCCTCAGCAACTCGCTGTGAGGTTGCTACTATACATACTTTTTGACCCCCTTTGTGTCGATAATAATCTCAGAACACGATGCGTATTTCACATTTCCTTTTGCCGATTTGTTTGACTGGATTTGCCCTGGGAGCCAATCCCTCGGATTTGAAGATGAATGACCGATTTACCATCTCACCAACCTGCAACGGCCGCGATCTGGATGGCTTATTGGCAGAGTCAGTTGTTATGATCAAGAATGCTATCACGGCTCTTACGGCATTACTGGGCAATATAAGGGCCCCAAACGATGAACTACAAGGCTGGATACGGGCAGCACAGGCCTGCTGGGCGATTCCTAAGCCAGAATGGTACCAGCAGGAATTAGCGCCTGTGGATAAGAATAGATTGAGAATGGTACGAAGTACGAAATGATCCGAGACTGTTTAAAGGAAAGATCAATACTAATAGTAAGAACAGGAAATTTCGAAATGCTTCTAGACGTACTGGACGACTTGGATTACACGACACCTTCGGACAACTTTATGTATTGCCATTCCACGGATTTGCGGCTCACAAATGTATCTGGAAAAGTGTTCTTAGATATTTACAATAGTGAACGTCATAGCTGACGTGGATACAGATGGCTGATGAGGTTTTCGACGACGCCCCGAAAGGGCAGTCAATCAAGGACTATAGTATGTAGTACAGATAAAGCATACCAACCTCCAACTGACCACTCTTAGTTGGCCCTCGATTACCTGACGGGGCAAGTAAGGAATGGGTCTGGGTCGATCCAAACAACCACCATCATAGAATATTGGAAGGTGACGGGCCTTCCAAGCTTTTCTTCCCCGATGGATACGCCGGGGGACAATTATGTGGAAGTCCCTCCTCAATGGACGCTTTGACCTATTACAAAATCCCGAAAAAGATTTTCCTCTGTCCAAATGCATGGGCTAAATTCAGGCCCAGCAATAGTCAGAATAGACAAGATAAAGGTCGCAAACTCTATTATGAATGGCAAAATATGCCAGGACTTTTGATTCACGAGCTCCTGCACTGGTTAGCTCTGATGCCCTCAGAATTTCATAGTATGTACTTCTATGTCCTGAAATCCCAAATTGTTTAAGGCTGCTTTGGTTACTAAATTTTCAAATACAGTTGGGGATAGGAATGTCTGGCATCCAAAGGAAGACCGGTTGGTTGCAGCTTACGGTTACGTGGGTGCGTTTCTACTTTCGGGACATAGAGCACGGACCGATCCTCGAAACAATTGGCCTCCCGACTTTACTTTGACGAACGCCGATTCATACAATGTTTTTGCAACGATGGCTTACAGTCCCCTTGCCCTCTTTGCACCTGACGATACAGCTTCGGGGTTGGAATTTGGTTTCTAATCTGTTTCTCAAAACATGCTTTCTTTCTGCACCTCCTAACAACGTAACTTAAAAATACTTGGGTGTAGTAAGAATAAAAGAAAGTCAAGCCGGAGTCTACTAGAATCTTTTTATGTTTTCTGGCTTTTGCAGAGTAAGGATCTGTCTTTTAAACCCGAGCCTTATTACAGTAGTACAGAGTTGGAAGGGGGTTTCCGTCCCCAGAGAGAACAAGTCCGAATTCTATGTATATATATAAGTCCTCGATTGTTTTTAGTACAATAGAATCGTTTCAAATTTCTAAATCATACAATTCTTAGCTTCGGAAGTTTTATCACTGGTTATACTGCTGTGTGGAGTTCAGTGTGGAGTTCAGCCAGCACCCGAAGATCAGCAATACGAGGGGTTGTATAGTTCTAGCGTATTGTCTACTACAGTACAACATGGGATATCTGCTACCAGGATCGCAACCCAGCCCACGAATTATCAACTATGGAATTGCAGTCGAAATGTACTGCCGTTTTGGTACAACACAAAATTGCGGGCCTAGACCTTAACTTAGAATCGAACAATATAGAACATCAAAAGCGTGGAATTGTCTCGTAAAGAACTTCGAAAACCAGTGAGGGGCCCATTAACCAACCAATTTACATACAAAACACCAACTCTCATCACCCTTACAGTTTCCTATCCATTCTCCCCTGCTTTTGACCCCAAATTAGATCACCGTGGTGGCTAGCTTACCGTCAAGTCCTTGTTGGACGGGAAACCCAATGTCTGACATTCTTTTCCCCAATCTAGGCTTTCGTCGCGCAGTTCTCAAGCAGAATACCGTAGAACTTCGATACCAACATGGAACCTGGAAATACAGTCCATTAAGGAATAATCCTTGCCTTCCTAAACCTATCAAAAGCTGTCCACCAAGCTCCCTTGACGTCAGTCTCCTCTTTCTTGTCACCCCAAGCGTTATGGCTTTCGCTCATATCCAGGTGTCGATGAAAATCAAACATCGTCATGATGAAATACTGGAATCCCCCAAAACTTCTCTCATTTCCAACTCTCCCAGTCTGTAACCCCATTCTAACCTCCAATTCTTTCCATTCGTCCAAGTGATCCGCAATATACTTTCCGGGTTGTGGGCCAGAACTCCCAACTGGAGGTGTGGTACCTTTCAATCCGAAATATTCGCATATGATGGGCCATTTCTTGGACCATGAAGAGGGGACAGCATTGTCAGCTGCGTTAAATCTCCCCTCGTGCGAGATTTCGGGATGAAGACTGGCATGAATGGTAAATCTTGCAACTATATCTTGGCTGGAGTCATTGCTCTTTATTTTCCAACTCTGCTCAGTTCCTGGGAATGCATATTCTGAGCCTTTTCCCTCGACGGCTGAGTATAGTGAGAGATATGTGGCCAGAGTTTGAGCGAGGCAATAAATATTGTTGTTTGGTACGAACCCTACGATCATGTCTGGAATTATCTCGCAGTATTTCCAGCGTTTTCCCCGGCAGGATTGGGATAGATAGTCCACTTGGGCATAATAGAACATTTGGGAGGCATGAGGTTCGGGAATTCGTAGGAGCGATTCAGATAATGGCGGGATGAAGGGAAAGGATCGGAGAAGATGCACTCCATATGTCTGCGTTCGTCAGAAGGTTTAATCTGCGCGGTTTTCTTTACATGCCTTTGTTCCTGTTGGAAGAGCAACAAATTTGAGATTGGTGACAAACTCTCAACCACAGTCATGGCTCTATCCAACAGCTTGATATTAACGGCGATCTCTTTGTCTGCATCAAGATCCATGATATATGCTTGTGATAGTGAGCTAAGCTGTGGGTATTTCTTCTTCTCTCAATACTACTTCACGTACCAAAGAAAAATACATGGGTCACAGTTTCGATCCCCTTGACTTTTGATCTCATTTCCTCGTTGAGTCCACCTTGTCCCTTTTCTGTGAGAAGATCCAAGCCACTGACCACTTGAAGCTTCACTGAAGACGGCCATTGTGCCGCTTGTGTTGTCAAAGATCTATTTGTGAGAGCAGTCACCTGAGAAAAGGTGTTGCCATCAGGATAACCTTCAATTAGAGCATTCGTAATCGTCCAACCAGTTATTCCACTGGCGCCTGTTTCTTTGATTAGCAGATCTCTCTAGGAAGTGTAACAGACATTACGACTTCTCACGTACCAAAGATGAGAGCATGATTCCCAGGCATGATATATGTAATCTTATAATCCAGAAACCAGCTTAAGTGATATAAGTAACTTCACTTGAGCCACGGATGTGTGGCAGTTTACTATCAAGGCTGACATGCGGGGTATCAACAATTGTTACATTTAATTAGAGCTTGTCCTCCGTTCATTGCATCATTATTAGCCGGGAAGTGAAAACTCTATGGCAACGTGTAGTCAAAAAAGATTGACGTCGCTCTGGCCATCAGAAACTCTTTTGAAATATTGTACTTATCCGTTTATCCACTTCCCATCATAATTGCCCAAGCACTTTCTGTAGCGTCCTTTATCAGAAGGTCTTACAGTAGCCATATTTCATGATAACAACCGGTCAATGGAAGCGATGGCTTCCATTCACACATCCAGCAAGGCTGAATAAGATGCCGCCTCTGGTCCAAAGGCGCCTGGCAGGTGCTAGTGATACATAGCATAAATTGATACCCTGATGGTTGCTGAATTCCAAAGATTCAAGTGATTGCCAGACTGATTCATAAGATCGGCTTTAAGACTCTCGCTTGACTCGAGGTCCCACCTAAATGCGCCAATGAGAAGTCTACCTATGCGCAACCTTCACCGGGATGAGAAGCATCAGACCATCGAGGTTCAACCTCCCAACATGTTGTCTACCCCGCTTTTTCAGATTCTTCTTCGGATATGCTTTTCCAATCCGCCGTCTCACCATGGATAACGTTGGGAATCTCATTGCCCGTCATGACATCCATTTCAGAAAGGAAATGCCTCGCCTAGCCAATCATGCGGAGCGATTTCCCCCGCTGCCCACTCAGTCGCTTGGAGACAAGGTGGTTCCAGACTCTACTTCGTCCTCACAAATACGCGACAGCTCTAGGAGGTGGTGTGGAAGAACGCCCCGAAAAACCCCCTCCACTACTCAGAGGAACTTCTCACCCAGATCCTTGATTCGTCCATCCGAGTCACGGAACAAGTTGTCTGTCTCCTCTAGATCTCGGCTCATTATCAAGATGCGCTTGGGACCACTCATTGTTCCTAAGGATGACGCAGTTTTGCATTATGGTAGAACAACCGTTGATCTCCATGTAGGCTGCCTAATATCCTGGTCATACCTTCATAAGCTAGCCACTGAAGGCCCACGGCGTGTCTGTTCGCTTTTTCAATTTTGGCACGCTGGTTTGTGAATTTCTTCTCTTCCACCAGAATACATAAGCACAACTTCTTTCTGTATTGTGAATCAAATCAAAATGTCGGATTTTGTTATTACTGCCAGTAGCACCCCAGTTTCACATGCCACAGCACGACTCAATGGCCCAATTCACACAGAAAGGCACATCAATATCATAGTCGTTGGGGCTGGTGCATCTGGCCTGTTAATGGCATACAAGCTGCAAAAGCATTTCAAGAATTACACCTTAACCATATACGAAAAGAACCCCGAAGTTTCAGGGACGTGGTATGAGAACAGATATCCAGGGTACGTATTCTTCTTATTACGCATTGCATCCCTTCTAATCTGGAAGCAGATGTGCCTGCGATGTACCCTCACATAACTATACCTGGAGCTTCGAGCCAAAAACAGATTGGTCGGGCGTTTATGCCAGCAGCACGGAAATATTTGCTTATTTTGACTCATTTGCTGAGAAATATCAGCTTAAACAATACATCAGAATACAGCATCAAGTTACTGGGGCATACTGGAATGATCAAACCGGTGGTTACGATGTCAAGATCCGAGATAACAAGGGTGGTCAAGAATTCAATCAACACTGTGATATTCTCATAAATGCTTCGGGCATTTTGAACAACTGGCGATGGCCTGCAATTCCTGGTTTGGATAAATTTAGAGGTACTTTACTGCATACTGCAAATTGGGATGATAGTGTTGATCTTGCTGGCAAGCACGTTGGTTTAATTGGAAATGGGTAAGCAATATCTTAACACGACAAAAACATCTGTCATAAACTGACGATTGTAGGTCCTCCGGGATTCAAGTTCTTCCCAAGATCCAGCCAATTGCAAGAAAGGTCACCACATTCATTCGCGAGCCAACGTGGGTTTCGCCTGTGCAAGGACTTGAGGATCACATCTATTCGCCACAGGAGAGGAAAGAATTTGCAGAAAAGCCATACGTACTCACAGAATACCGAAAGAATGTGGAGCGCGGTCTCAATGGACAATTCGGGATTTTCCTTAAAAACACCAAACCTAGTACCGAGATCACTGAATATATGACACAACAAATGAAAGAAAGGCTACAAAATCAATATTTGGAGGAACGGTTGATCCCAGAATGGTCTGTTGGATGCAGGAGAATGACACCCGGCGTTGGGTACCTCGAGAGCTTAGGGAAAGAAAATGTGGAAGTAGTATACGGAGAGATCAACGAGATCACCGAAAAAGGATGTCTTTGCGAAAACGGACAAGAGTACCCGCTTGAGATTCTCATCTGCGCTACTGGCTTTGATACCACCTTCAGGCCCCGTTTTCCGCTCATCGGCCCTGGCGGTATCGACCTTCAAGATCGTTGGAAGGATACGGCAATATCCTACCTTGGAATGGCTGCCGCTGATTTCCCAAATTACTTCATCTTCATTGGGCCCAATTCGCCTATTGGCAACGGTCCTGTCCTTTCCGCTATTGAAGCACAAGCAGATTACATGTGTAAAATGATCGACCGTTACCAAACAAGAAACATTAAGACTTTTGCCCCAACCCAAGCAGCAGTTGATGACTTCGTGGCTCACAAAGATAACTTCATGACAAAATCAGTTTGGGTTGATCCATGTCGATCATGGTACAAAGGCAACCGAGCCGAGGGACCAGTCACTGCTCTTTGGCCTGGATCCACGCTCCATTACATCGAAGCCATCAAAGAGATTCAAATCGAGGATTGGGATATCAAATATAGTGGGAACCGGTTTGCGTGGTTGGGGAATGGATACAGTCAGACAGAATTGGATTCTACTGCTGATTGGGGGTATTACATCAGAGAGGTAGACGACGATAGCCCGCTTACAACTGGAGGAAAGAGGAAACTACTGAGTAAGAGTGGAACTGTTACTGAGAATATTGGGATCGATTTTACTGGCAAGAATGCTGTACCGTTGAGGGCTAATCTGTAGATTTTCTGCAATATTAGATTTCGTTCATACACAGCGCTGTTTTAAGAGGGGCGAGTGTAGTGACGGCCTTTATATTTAGCCTTTCTGTTTGTCAATTTTATATCTGGAATGCTGCATCTTGGAGCTCCTGGCTTGTGCTGTTCAACTTGGAGATTCTATGACGCGTTGATTTAATTGTGTTTTCACCCAGTGAAAATGCTTCTTTTCAGAGCGCATACGAGGTAGAACCAGCCACAATCAAACCCTGCCGAATTCGACTCCCTCTTCTTCATTATCCTTTGAAAGCTGTCCCTGGTAGATTACCTTAATTCCCTACCGCCTCTCATAATCGGCTATGGCAAGGTTCATCCATGTTGATCATCTATTCTCCGACCTAGACTTCCCTTAGTTCCCTCCCGCTTTCCTACTGGTATATCAACACTCTGTTGCATATCGCAATTTCCTTGTCATCTGTTTGCAAATCGCGATCTTGTTTGCAGAGGTGACGTGAATGACGTTTTACTTCGTTTTTCAAAAACAGTTGGATGTTGGTAACCATCTTAGCCTCTTATGCTGAAATTGGGCGGTGGAAGCTGCCTCTAGTTGATAAGAACTTGCTGCACTTTAAGATGTGTCTGTTAATCTTTGCTGGCTATTCGTTTTCGGCAACAATATGATATGTTACTATTTCTTAAAGCCAAATCGTTGTCTGAGTATTAAGCGAAGCATCATACATTAACAAACAAGGACATTATCCAACTGAATCATTGTTGGAATAGATCTACGCGCTTAGGACACTTAGCACGCTAGAAGAGTTTTCTATATAGGCAAGTCTGCTCTGCACCTCTTGTTGAAGACAGTTGTTCTACTACAACGTTTGTTCAACTAACAGGTCTTATTAGAAGTCTAGTTTCAGAAGATGGATGTTTAGTGTCCGTATTCGGTGAAAGTATATGCCAATTCAACAGCTGTAATCCCCAAAGAAGTCAATACTATGGTGAAAGAACCTTATGAGAAGAGTTTTTAGACCATTCAAAAGACTTTTATTTCAAGCGAGTTTAAATGCACAAGTCAGCTCTGAGGGAGTCTTTTGGAATTTGGTTTTTTCGTAGCTGAATTTGCTTGATTTTTCCGGATGGTCTCAGAAAAACAGCCGCATGCACATAAAGATTTATGGGTGAAGTGTCTAGGTACTGTGCCGCTTAGCCTGAAGGATGTACCCAAATTTTCTGCCGAACCAGACATACAGCCCCTTCGCAAAAGTAGGCAGAAACAAGGGTTTTGTGCAAATGGTGGTACCCCTACCTTGACATATGGTCCTAGGTAAGTAAGCGACTATTATGCTATTTAACCCTAACTCTAAGGCCAAATGGTTGAAGCATAAAGCTGAAAAGTACCATGTTAAGCCAAACAATAGTAGAAATAAGAAACAAACTACAAAAATGCACAAAACTGCACAAAAAGGTCTAAATGCTCATAAAACTTGCTAATTAAGTGAAGGGGCTGTACAGCCCCTTCGCACAATTAGCGAAAAACAAGGGTTTTATGCAAATAGTGGCACTTTTAGCTTAACATATAGTCCTAGGGTGTTGCGCCACTTTTCTGCTTTTTAACCCTAATCCTAAGGCCAAATGATTCAAGCATAAAGCTGAAAAGTGCCCTGTTAAGTCATCTAATAGTAGAAATCAAAAAACAAACTACGAAAATACACAAAATTACACAAAAGGGCCTGAATTCGCATAAAAAAATCCTGCTAATTAAGTGAAGGGGTTGTACATACATTTCCCGTAACTCTAGGTCTGACCATTCGACTATTCGCTGGCCTAAATGTATCTCTGACACAAGCCCTCGCGAAGTCTGCCTACTAAACCAGCCCTAGTTAAACCGAACTCCCTACTCATACCATCTAGGAACTTAGTGTTAGGATATTCCTAACACTATACGGAAATTCCTAATACAGGCCTAATTAGGTAGTTAAAAGTAGAGATTTAAGTAATATAAAGTAGACTTCTCTACTTTTCGCCCTTTATACTTTATTATCCTCTACTAAGCAAGGATTAGTATTAATTTTACGTCTAATTATCCCTTAAATTCTTATTCTCTTATAATAAATTATTATACCTAAATAAAGTAAGTATAATAAAGAAACTAGATATTAAAAAAACCTTTAATTATTATAAAGAATATACTGATAAAAAAGTATACTCTTATATATTACTCTTAGCTCTTAAAAGAAAATAACATCTTTTCTTTTATATCTTGCCCTCTAACTATAAAATACTACTTCCTAGGACTACTACTAGCTTTTAGGTTAATTTAAATTCTTTTAATAATACTAAGAATAATATTTATATTAATTACTGTAATTATATCTAACTATCCTTTATAAAAATATAGCCTAAAGTTATTATAGTACTAAGTATAAACCCTTCTTATAAATACTACTATTTTAATCTAACTCTTATTTAAGTAGTATTAGATAATATACTTAATTATAAGTTATTAATAATAGCTATTATAATATACTAATTAATTATAGAAGAAGATTTCAGTTATTTTAAATAAAAAGAATTTAAAAACAATTATTTAAATAATAATTCTAATCTTTAAGATAATAACTAAGATAGTAATATAGAAATATAGGTTAGTTTTTTATATAATTACTTAGTTAAATTTATAGTATTAAGAAAACTAGATAGCCTAGAGGTAGAACTAATTAATAATTACTTTATAAAACTTAGCCTAGTATGATATATCAATAGTAGACTAGTTCGATTCCTACTATTATTTATATTATATCTTATACTTATAATTACTATAGAGTATTAGGCTAATAACTTTTCCTAAAGATAAAGAACTATTTATATATAACTACTAATTTCTTAACTTAACCTACTAACTTTAATAAAACTAGTTAGACTACTTAGATAGTATAATATAAGGAGCTATATAAGTACCTAATTAGAACCCAGAATAGATCTCTTATTATTTAAACCTTCTCTAATTATAAAATCTAGAATATATACTATAAGTAGCCCTTTGTCACGAATCACGTGTTCACGTGATACTTGTCATAATAAGAGGCGCAACCCTCGAAAGGCACATCCAGGTTTCTTATAGCAAATAGGGATCGTTTGGAGTAGCTAAGCGATCCAGGGATTTCTCTGTATTGTTATCACGCGATATTAGGAGTTCGCCAGTTAGCCGGGCGAACAGGCGAAGTTAGCCAGTTCGATTGTCGAACGAGCGAACATCGAGAGAACGAAGGTTCTATATAAGACTGGCACGTCTGCCATTAGATAGGAGCTTCGTGCTCAACTTAGTTATCAATCTTATCATATTAGTTTGACATCTTTGATACAAGTAACGAGTTCACTTCCAAGTGAACAACCCGATAGTCTTCTTCTTATCATAGCATACCAACCAGCGAACACCCAGCCAAGTTTAGTTAGCCAGTTTGAGTATTCGTTACACCCTTTATGTGACGGTTATGGTCACGAGGGCTGGATGTCACATGCTCGCTTAGCGAGGCGCTAGCGCGCACGACCTGTATTTAGTTCCCAGCTCTCTCGAGCTCTCCTTCTTTCCTCGTCTTTTGTCCTAAGAATAGAGTGTTAATTGTTCTGAGTTCTACCTGAAGCACGTCTGTCACACTTTATAGTTATTTAATTTAGGCTTTAGGTTCTTAGAATATTAGGCCTTACAAGGCTTATAATAACTATTATAACTACTTTTTATATATAAAGCCTTTCTTTTAATATATTATTATAGTTAATTACTAACTAGTAGAATTATCTTATACTAATTATTAATTATTATACTTAGATAATTATAATACTACTGTAGAGTATAATCGAGGATATTATAAAAGACATTAGAAACTATATAATAAAAGAGAATAAATAAAGGATATTTAGTCTTAGAGTTAGAGGTATTAATTATTTTATAATTAAGATATTATATATCATTTTTAGTTTTATATCTAAATAAACATTTTTCTTAGTTTTAGATTTTCTAAAGATCTTAAGTATATTTATAGAAAACTTACTAGTTAAGCTCTATAACTTTTCTATTAACCTTATTATATTAACCCTAGGAAGCTTTTAAAAAGAGTTCTTTATCTATTAGTTAGTATAAATTAAAAACTACTATTAATAAAGAAGAAGATAGGCTTAGAGGCTTATTACTTACTTTATAATAATATCTATTATATCTAATATAATATATAATAAAAAATATCTTTCTAGTATATAAGGTCTATATTAAAGAATATTATAGTAATAATAGGATTAATCTAATTAGGTTAAAAATATTATAATATTTAATATTAGATTATAGTTATTTATAATATATTTTTATATAAAGTATATAATTAATTATTAAAACTATCTATTTTAACTTTACTTATCTACCTTTAAGTATAATAAAATCTTTTATAGTTCTTATCTAAGTTATTTATTTTAACTTTTATATATATTATCTAAGTATAGTACTATAATATTTCCTATTTAAATATAGTATTATAACTTTTATAGTAAACTTTTGAGCTATATATTTTAAGTTCTATAGTTTATATAAGCTATATATTTTAAGTTCTAGAGTTCTATCTAATCTAGATATTTTAAGCTCTATAGTTTATTTAAGTAAAGTATTTTAAGTTCTATTATTCTTTTAAGCTATAAATCTAGACTTCTATAGTTCTAAGATTCTTTTTCTATATAAGATATTAGCGTATCTAAGTTATTAGTATATCTAGGCTATTAGTATATCTAAGTTATTAGTATATCTAAGTTATTAGTATATATAGTTTATTATTCTATCTAAGTTATTAATACTAGCTCTTTATCTTATCTAAGTTATTATCTTATCTAAGTTATTATCTTATCTAAATTATTATCTTATCTAAGTTATTATCTTATCTAAGTTATTTATACTTATAGCTATTATTCTATTTAAATTATTAATAACTACTCTTTATTTTATTTAAGTTATTTATACCTTTATCTAATTATTAAATGTAA